TCTGTGGACTTACTCACTCTTGGGGAAATTAGTTTTACCTGAGAATACCACAATGATATAATTTTACATTTGATATGACAGTGTCTTTCTTCCCAATGTCAAAATAAAGTTGCATGACAAAGATCTTACACGTTTCTCACTTAATATTATATGTCATAAAAAACATTTCTTTGAGAATAATTCATATTGCTATTATTAATTCCTCATTTAAGTGGCCTGATAAATGGAGTGGTATAAATGGTAAGTTAAAATTAACAAAAATACACCTTTGAAAATTTAACAAAACACTGATAATCTACTACATTTAGTTCAATTTATTTTGGGCATCACTTGCACAGTATTCAAGGAGATAAAACTATTCCAATAGAAGAATGGTTTAAGCTATATTTTTTCCTGCTATTTAAGAACTTTATATCATCAGATGTCTTCAGGATCACTGTCATCACTGAAAAAAAAAAAACACAAAAAAAAACTATGGTTAGTTGAGAGATATTATACTAATATATTTGATCAAGTATTTATTTAAGTATTCTTGATAAGATGTTTACAGGATTACCTATACATAAACTAATATTATGGAGATTCATCCATATTCATAACATCCAGATTCCTCACATCTTCCATGTATAATCAATAAACCATTTGAGCAAAATTTTATGCATGAAAGATACAGCTGGTTGAACTAGCTACTTCTACTCCTCTCATTAATTGTATTTTACAATGAAAGAGTCTGTTTACTCTTTACTGTGCATAGTTAAAGATCAAATTTGGTTAAAATCACTAATCTGCAGTGGCACAAAGACTGGATTGACCCAGAAATTCACAGGTAAGTGTAAAATATAGATACTGAGCATTCTTAATTAAAGGTACAGAAAATAGGAAAAAGTGGCAAGAGCACAACAAACTACAACAGAATTGAATTCCTGAAAGTAGAACAAAAATATATGCATAGCTAAACAACTTACCATTAACTTACACACAGTGGTTATGCAAATTTTCTTAAAATAGCTTGCAAAATCACAAATAAAACTTCATTTGATTGTTAGAAGTTACAAAATTACAGGAGCAGCTTTACGGTATTTTCCAATTTCATTCTGTAAGTAAAATATCTGTAGATCTGAAGCAGTTGAGAAATTCACTGTTTAATTAAGAATAAGGAAAAACCAGAGCGATTATATAAAAATAGATTTCATGTGGTTTGAAGTAGCAAATTAATCTTTAATTCATGTAAATATGCCAGACATAAATTTGCAATTTGAAAAACTTATCCTTCAGGACTTGAATTAACCTTTCCTTTACTCAACATCCATTTGAATTAGGTTTATAAGCTTTGTCCATATCGCTTTCTAATTTACTATTCAAACTTCATCTTCCTACTTACAAGCCAACTTTCTGCACATTATGAACCTTGCCTTAATCTCAACATAATTACTACACATCTATACAAAAAAAAGAGATTAAATCAGCATATTTAATAATAGTGTTCTAAATGGTAACTATGCAATTAAACCTCTTATTTCTGAATACTGAGGAGCTACTATTACTTAATAAGAAACTTTCCAAAATTTAAAAATAGAGAAGACTGTATTGAGAATGTTTTGGACTTTATACACCAAATTATGTTAACATATATGGCTTTCTGAAGGCTGATTATCTGTCTTACTTACATCTACATGAACTGTTTTAAAACATATACTTGAATTAAGTCCCTCATTCCATTCTTAAGCCACCAACTTGTAATAAATTTCAATGTTGACTATTTTCACTGGTAAAATTTAAAACTTGAAACCTTTTGATGAATACAGTGTAGTAAATTTTGAGTGTAATTATTCACAAAAGTTATAATTTTCCTATACTGAAAATGTATTTCCAATAAATACTTATCCCCTGTCACATATATAGCTATTCTCGTTCAATGCTGCATATGTAAATTTTTTTTACATGCCACAAGCCTTGAGCTCCCACATACCCAATGATGAACATGGTTCAACTACGTCTCGCATGTAAATCATCATGTAACAACCCTCTACTAATAGGAGTGTGACTACCTCTATTCAATTCTATTGAACTATCACTTCTCCTTTGGCAGTACTCATGTCAAGATGTTTTTTTTGTTGTGCTCTTCAATTGTTTTTTCAACGATGATTGAATTTTTTTTTATTTCTTTAAAAGTGGAATAGTTATTCTCATTTTTCAAATGTTCGGGAACATGATGATAACTTTTTTTCTAGTTTTTCATTTACTGAACTATCATTTCGAGTTCTGGCAGAAAATGGAAGCACTGGTTTTCAGTAGGGAAGAAGTTTGGGAAGCGTGAGAGTAATTAAGTACCCATTGGAAATACATTTTCAGTATAGGAAAATTATAACTTCCAATACGACACCTTACCTCCTCTCACAGATATAGCTAGAAACCCACATTGAATATATGGAGGGACTGGTGCTAGGGAAAGAAAGAAGCATCCTCCGAAAGTGTCCAAAGAACACCTGAAAAGGGGAGATCCAAACAGTAGAAGATCTTATGTGGGAGACTGCACCACTTCTGAACCAGGTATACTCTATGCCCAGTGTGTAATTAGTTGTTGCAAACACGGGCAGAAAACAATATATGGATAGGGATCCAATTCACCTGATATTGGAAGCCCAATCCCTGAGAAGACAGTGATGTGGGTGAGAATAAAAAGGATGTGCCCCAAGATGTAGAGTGGCTAGGGCATGATGGATAATCCATGGCAGTTCAACTACATCCAAAACCCAGCCACAGGGATCCAACATCTATGCAGGGGTAGGAAAGAAGATCGTTCCATCTTCACCTCCAGTCCAGCAGACTGGAAGAAGAAATCATACCCACCAATCCATGAACAGAGCACATGATAACAAATTGATAAATATTTTACTGATCCGGGAATCTCACAACCGGACAATCAAAATAAGAAAGATGTCCCTGTATTGTAAACTATCCCACTCAAAACCAATCAGACAGGAACCACCCCAGCACAGTAATATCTTTGGTCTATGAAAATCTTCAAGAGGAAGAACCATAGGGATGTACATGTTCATCCACCGTGACCCACAACACGGTAATAGTGAACATGAGTCCAATTGAGTGAGTGAGGGAACAGAAACAGCTGAAATACACGTGAGAGGACTTATGTTGATTATTCCAGCTATGAAACTAAAACTCAGCCACTTGGAACTGACATCCATGCGGGAGTAGGATGAAGGATCCCAATCAATGAGGTGAACTGCTATGTTTTGATGGCTCACACCAAATCTACAACCCTACTGCTATAAGAGAAGTCAAGTTACAAAGTTATCTACTAAAATTAAAAAATCAATTATAATAATCTAAATGAAAAACAATATTTGAACATTAGATCATCATTTAATCATCCAGGGGATTTTATGATCTTCCTAATATTCATATAAATTACGATGTCCATGGAAACCTATAGTTTCTAACACTGGAACTTACAATCACGATTTAGATGGTTGTTTGGTTGAATTTTTGAAGACTTTCACCACAAATGAACATTGAGAAACAGCTTGAAGTTTAATGAAGTTGATAACAATGTTCATTGTGCCAACTTTAATGTTGAGTTCTTTTATAGAAACATAACATATAGTTAAAAGAAACTATACAGTTGAGTGCTAATTTGGTTTTCAACAACTCTGACAATTTGACTATTCCCCAATCAGTATTTTTTTAAGATGATATACCTTGCCACAAAGGAATCTCATTTTCTTCTTAACAGCAATCTTTATGATCAGATTAATAGTTTTGCTAAAGGTTCTAGATTGGTGCCCTCTTTGGGCAATCTTTTTCTGTGCTATCATGAAAAACAATGGTTGGAAGATTGGCTGCAATATTTTGAAACCGCTTTACTTCAGTAAATATGTGGATAATAGTTTTACTATATTTAAAAACACTTGTCAAGTTTCTCAATTTCTTGAGTACTTGAACAAAAAAACTTAACAGTATAAAATCCACTGTGGAACATCAAAAAGATGATAAACTCTCATTTCTTGACACTTTCATTTAAAAAATTATGGCCACTTTCAAATTGAAGTATACCACAAAATAACATTTATTGGCTTGTATTGTAACTTTGCAAGTTTTGTATCAAATGTTTTAAAGAAGAGTTGGTTAAAATTTTGTTCCATTACAGACACGAAAAATATTTAGTACTTAAGAAGCTTTATATAAATAATGGCAATAAAGAAGTTTTATTCCAAAAATTGTTTTCCTATTTATATTATTGACAAAATACTTCATATCTGAATAAATAAAGTTATAATAAATCATCCATATACAAAGTTCCTGCATATCCTGTTATTATTATCTTGCCATAAACTGGTAAATATTCTTTGATTATTAAAAATCAGTTTAAAAAATGTCCTTCATAGGGTATATCCTCAAGTTTGAAAGAACATGCACATTTTGAGATCCGCAACTGGATCAAGTGCACTTGAACATGCCCTTCATTCAAATTACTTTTCTTACATATTTATGACACCACCAGTGATTGGGAACTATTTTGTTTTGAATGATAATTATCATGTTTGAAAGTTGCGTATGATGTTATTTCCTGTACCTCTAAAGTTTCCCATTTCTGTATTATTTCTGGCAATTTTATAATTACAGTAATGTTCTCACAGTAACCTACTGCGTGATTAATACTGCGAAATATATCAATTATGAATACTGTATTCTGCGTAAACAGTTTTATAAGTTGCAATAATGTTTTTTATAGGATTGGTTATTTACGTATTTAATGACTACTAAAAAAATTGTCATAATGTAAAAAATGTATACAAATTAAATCAATTTCTTTTTTTCAGACTCTGGGGTTGTTACTTTACAAAATATTGATTTTTACTTTACATGGTATATACATATAACATATTTGAAAATATATTTATTTATTTCCAACTTCAGCAGAAGGTCCAGAAACAATTGATAAAATTTTGTTTAAAAAAATGGGGCTACAGTACATTTAGATTTGTAAATAATATGGCAAAAATTAATTAAAGACCTTCAGTACTTAATCTCTGTTGATTTCACCGATAAAACCATCAGTCAGACTGTTCAGTAGTCTTACATGTAAATATCATATTAACAATAGATTTTAACGTCATGAATACACACATAAGGTTTATAACATCCTAAAAATGTAATCCATATTCTAATAATTTAGGCATTACGACAAACAAACTACAAATTGTTATTTTGCCCCTTATAAATTTCTCAGATTAAACTTTTACAAAACACTAACTCTCTCACTAAATACTTAAAGTACTATAGTCAAAATACAACAGGCTTATTGTTCTTTTTACTGTCTATCCATAGGTAAATGACACTTTTTAAACTGATTACTAAACAACCTAAGGTATTACGAATGCACAATCCTTGCTCATGAAAAGTTACATCCAGTACTGTGCCTATAATTTCCTCATCTGTGAAACATGAAAAAAAAACACCTAAAAATATAGTTGTACATCTGAGTAATGCATGTTTCCTTCAGTTCTTCTGTACCTTTCCATATATTCTAGTCCATGTGGTCCTTTTGATGAATAATCTTCATGATAAGGTAGATTTAATAACTCTGGTTTGTAATTCTTTAAGAAATACATCCATACTCTCAGACAATCTCCAGCTGTTGCAGTGCCTTCAAAACTAGTACTCTGGATAATACATACATCTTCCTGTTTCCTTTCATAGTAAGTTGGATGATTTTCTAATTCATCAAGTTTTTCTAGCATTCTGTCATTCACTTCATAAACTTCTCCTATAACATTCTGAAACAAAACAAAAGTCTTTAGGTTAGAAACTTGTATATTAACAGGTTACTGCTACTTTGAAATATACAGAAATTCCTTTCTTTATTTAAAGCTACATGTGCAACCCTAATGAAGTGATTATAAACAACTAAAAACTTCAACAACCACCATTCTCTAAATACTTGACATTTACCTATGTAATAGAAAGTAGTACCAACCAAAATGCTTAAAAGTGGGAGGAATCATTTCAAAACCTGTAATGGTCTAAACAAAATGCTGCTACAATCATGTGCACACAGAAATGATGGATGTAGTAGATTTTGTGTGGTTGACATATTATTACAATCTTTTTTACTCTCACTCATAAGTTCTTATACTTAAACAGCTTGACCAACAGAAAAGGCTACATAAAGCTTTGTTTGAGACATTAATGAGTGACCCTTATGAACTGACTGGCCATCTGTCCTCCAATTGTTATTACTTGTGATATTGAGAAGCAGTTTAATTTTGGAACATTGTGTTATTCTGTGGTGAATTAGTATTGAAATTAGTATTGGTATTGAAATGAATCACATTGAGATTTATGTTGTATTGTTTGTTAATGTTTGTACCTGGCCAGGAAGTGTTAAAATTTGTATCCTAGTTGTTTGAAAGTTTTATTTTAGACAAGGTCTGTTCAGGCCAGCTGAGATTCAATAGACATGACAGTGGTCAAGGTGCTATTCATAACTGATCACTCAAAAAGCTGAGCACACCACCTTCTCTGATAATTCAGATCACAAATTAACAAACTTGCAAGTAAAATAAATTTGTCTATGAACTTGTTGGTATCCACCTTCTCTGATAATTCAGACCACAAATTAACAAACTTGCAAGTAAAATAAATTTGTCTATGAACTTGTTGGTATCCAAGCTTCAAAGCAACAACTACCAATATTCAAGTCACACTTTAAACTAAGAGAACATTAAAATCCAAAGTAAAAAAAATTAAATACTAGACATCAATTCACTGAAACCACAATTGATAATAGATCAAGGATCTGAAAACAGTTTTCTTGGATACAGATTGTTGCTAACAAAACAACTTGCATAGGAATAGTATTAATGAACTCATTATTGCACTAATTAACCTCAATATTAAGTCTTTTTCAACAACAGAGTACATTTACTTTACATGAGGAGTCAAAAGGAGATACTGGTGACATTAGATGTAATAATTTGGCTACTTTTTATGTAGCACTGTAGTCCATTTTCAGATATCTATTCCAAGGACACTGAGTATTTCATTTATTTTATGTCAGATTTGTTTTGTTTTTTACAAAAACTACACAAATGGCTGTCTGTGCTGAATCATTCATCCCTAATTTTTAACTGACAGACTATAGAGAAGACATTTAGTCAACAACCACCACTGTAAATTCTTGGACTATTTTCTGTTTGTCTGACCAAGTGAGATCTGATCACTTGTCTCTCTTTAGCATACCCATAGCCCCAAAGTGCAAAAGATGATTTTGTGGTAAGATACACAGTTCAAGCAGACTAACTACAAGGCTATGCCTGGCTGTAAAATATTTGAGAATTAGAATGTTATAAATATTCTCAAGATGATTTAAACAACACAATTTCTTACCTTGTTAATATGTTAAACTTTTTCTTGCTTTTTTTTTTTGAGGGGGGGGGATAAAGGCCAGTATCCTGATAGGTGGTGGTTATCATTGTTTTAAGACACAAAAAACAAGGTAATAGAAAGTCATTTAGCCCATCAAGGCTATTCCTTACCCACAAAGCAAGAATATTTTCCTTCATATTCCATATACATGTCTAACAACAATCTGAATTAAATTCCAATTAAGTGTACACACCATGGTCGGGAAAGGTATTCTGTAAGCTTATTCAAAGAACAAGTCTGCATCTAAAACTCTGAAGCCTACATCTATTCCCATATGTCAAGTTTGTACTGTACTTAAGTCTTATCTTTCCAATATTTAAACATATCTGACCATTCATAGAAAGTTTCTCCATCTGAATCATGTTTCCCTGTTTTCTTCTGTGCTCAACAGAAAAGTCTAATCAGACACAGTAGCCTGTCTCTGTATATCCTCTCTACATTCATATTGTAATATTTGAAAGTTAAGTTCCATATTTAGTGGTTGGTGGCAGCGCAATTTAACGATGTTGCATAAGTACACCTAAATTAGGCAAGGTCATTATGGACCATGAGGTTCTCTAAACTAGAAGAAATGTGGAGTTACTTGCATTTGTTCAGTATCATTGTAGTATGTACTGTATAGTTCTTGTGAGTTTGAGTAACATCCATTGTGAGGATTAACTTGGAGGAGAGATTTTGTCTTAGCAGATGGCAGCACAATACAACTGAACTGGCTTCCACAAAGAACTCTAAGTCTTGGTGGAATAGGATCATTATATCCAAAGTGCAGTGTTTGCTGCAGGGGATCAAGCTGAAGAGGTTTATGCATGGTTACACATTTTCTTCTGTTAAAAGATCATCACCTGAGTAGATACATAGGACAAAGAAGTTTTTCTTGTTTTGGAAATTGTGAACATTAAAGGACTTCTTTGTCTGTGTCTTGTAATGAGAAAGATACGTAAATTTAGAACAATTCTTAATGAAAGGAAAAGCTAAACTTACACCAGTGAAGATAACTGTAAGTAATACTGGATACTGAATTATAGTAAAAGATTGTCCAATTTTTGGTTTGTGTTAACTGAAAAGTTACTTTGGTTATTAATCATTGTGCTAAAATTGTCAATCCTTAAGAAATGGTACTGTACACTGTACAGTGGATAATGTAACTGAAAATATTGTCAAACCTCAACCTGACCTTAATTCATCATTAATAAACTTTGATCTAACATCAATTTTGGTGGAATAATCAGACCTTAACTCATCATTAATAAACTTTGAACTAACATCAATGATGGTGGAAAGATCAGATCCATCGTATAGCTTAATTTGTTACAATATATTTTACTGATTTGCAGTAAGGGGATAAAAACTGCACAGAGTGCTACAAATGTGGTCTCATCGGTGTAATACAAAGATATAATTACCTTCTTCTTAAAATTCCTATAACATAAACAGAGTCAAGAACTATTTATTCTTGTTGTTTTTCACCACATCCAAACTTTTATCAGAGGGTTTTAGAATTTTATCAGCAGTCACAACTAAATGCTTCCATGATATAAGCATTCCTACTTAAAAGAAATACTACAAGTTCCATCCATACATGAACATATTGTTTAAGTGTGTAACTTTACACTTCTCAAAATTAAAATTAATTTCCATCATTCCAGTTCATTCACTAATTGCATGTCAAGGTTCTTATGAATAAGAGAAGTATTTTAAATAAAATCAGCTCTTCTGGACTTTTATTACCATCAGCAAACTTAGAAAAGCCTATTCAAAAATGATAATTTATCATCATTCTTTGGTTTTTACAACTAAGCCAAATTCAGTTCCCTTCTTAACTTTCATGCCAATTAAAGTATCCAACTAAATAATTGAGCTATTATGAGAAACATTGTCAAAGCCTTTCTGAAAATACAGATACATAACAAGGTCAGGTACTCTCATCCAAAAGGTATGACTTATGACAACAAATTCCAACATCTTGCAAACAACAGAAGTTAAATTACAGCTATATATATAGCAGGTTTTTTGTTTCACATATCTTTTATAAACCTTTTTTTTTAAATTTATATTGATTACACTGGCAGTCCTCCAATCATCAGTAATTTCCCAGGTATCTAAAGGCTTCTAAATAATAATAGTTAAAACCCAATAACATTTTTCTACGGTTTTACAAGGTTTTGGATAAATCTCAATCATCATGACAAAAAGCTTTGTACTCCAAACATTTCCCAGATTTTCCTACAGCATCTACTTCCTCAACATAAAGAGAAATTAAAGGAACAGTAGCAAAAAGTTTTAACTCTTTAGCCATATCCTCTCCTTCCATAATTTAGATATATAAAGTTGTGAAACCTCTAAAGCATGAGATTATTTGAATATTAATAACAAAATCACTATTAGATGTAACAATTCCTACAAAACAAGGATCAAATTATCAACAAACTGCAATTATTCAAGCCGTAATAACAAAAAAATTGCAAGCAATGTTAAAGTACTTATTTGAGTCACTAAAAATCAAATTAATAAACATATTTTTTATAACAACATAAATACATTTCACACATCCTCCTAGTGTCTTCATATACCAAGTATGTGGTATTTAATTCTTTGAACCAAAGGAGCAGCAACAACCTCATTAAAACAAACTAGTCAGCATCTTTCGAGGTAAATGTTGTTAACCAAAAAGCCCTCCTGCTCACCACACTTTCTGTTACCTGACATTTTAAATTTGTCTACTCTCACATAAATTAATAATTAAGTGACCAATGAATCCTAAAATGTTTACTCTAAAGAACACTAGATGTCACATACTCCAGCCTAAAGAATTTCTTTGTTAGATAAGTTAAAGCGATTTATTAGAAACTGGCAAAACTACTTAAGTTCGGTTGGTAGAATATTTGTCTATGATAATAGAAATCCTGGGTTCACTTTTACTCATAAGAAGTGGAGAAATTAGGTTACCACAAAAATGCTGGTGATCATGCAACTTGTGGTCACCCCACAATACTGAAATAAGTCTCAAGGTTGAGCCTTGCATGTTCATAAAGGAGAGGGGAGGTAGAGATTGTTTAAGAATGCTCAACTAGGAATTGCTAGCAGATATAATCAGTTCTTAGCTCTTTTGCTCGGTTGGTAGAGCACTTGCCTTCTTTGCAAGAAGTTTTTGGTTGATATCTCTTTGAATCTGAGAGATTCAAGAATTGGATTACTGTAACTATACAAACACAGCATGCAACTTATACTGGTATCCAACTGAATTTATCCTGCCATGGTGACTGACACAACCCTACAAATACAGAAATCCTTTTTACTTCTTCCAAAGACAAGAAGAGTATATGAAATGTTAACATTTTCTAATACTGAA